CAGAATGGAATTCTAATAAACATCATTTTGCGCCTCAAGCCAACCCAATGAAGTAATTAACCAACCTCAAATGTGTGTTAAGATCCCCAATCTCCAACCTTTCATCAGATAGGTAACTTACTGTAGAAAAAGGTAAGCATAGATTAGGGATAAGGAAGAAAGAGAGGGAGGAGTGAGAAAAGAGGGGGAGAGCAAAACGAACAAAGGAACGAGAGAGAGCGAGAACGGGAACAAGGACACAGCTTACACAAACACAGCTCTACAACGATTTTGCTTTGGACGAATATGGTTTATCATTAGCATAGGTTTCCTTTATCGATTATTGTGTTTTCACTAAAGGTTTGTCCTTTGCAGTATGCAACCATGATACTGTGTACTTCTGTATTGCTTTTCCTCTTCTTCACACAGCGGTCTTTTCCGGCTTCCAAATCCATAGTCGACTACTTACTTTAGAACTTCACAACTGACCCTTACTTTCCTTATCTTCTTTCTCGCGCAGTAAATGACATTTCAGCATTACGAGGTTGCATTCCAGAAGATAGCTAACACATTGTGATTAATAGAACTAAAATTGATTGTATTACTGGGGTTCTCCTAGGACCGAATTTTAAAACATGATTTCAAGGATGCTTAGTACTTCCTGGCTGTGGCTACTCAAGCTACTTATGACTCTTCGGGAGGGGTTACTTCGTCGCCTTCGGAGACCAATAACAGAAAGCTGCTGATGCCTCGATCGACCACTTGCATGACTATTCGCGGTTTAGCGAACTTCCCTCCGTAGTCGTCGTCAGCCTATGTTCGTTTTCTGTAATGGACACTACCCTTTCGGACGGTCGCACGCATTGGCCGCTCTAAGTTGTAGTCTCCTGTTAGGTATTGGAGCAAACCTGCACGCTTTTCACCTCAGCCCAGCAACTCTACCGTGCTTAAAGTTCAAATCCTACATAATTTGGGCAACGATGACTTACCAGTGTGCCAGCAATAGGCACTCATGCATCCTCGTCTGTAATTATAATGTTTCCTGCAAGCTAGTTTCTTCCTCTACAACCGCGTCGTAGCCGATAGAAGATGATCCTTCCCTAAAAGTTTAGCCACTTAGTTCGCTCCTTGTATCTACGTGCACTTGAGAGCAAAGATTGGTTGAATAGTCTTGCATTTTAGTCCCACTTTTGATTTCCGAAACCTAGTACCTAATAAAAGCATGTCCGCCGCCCCCTACACAGGATGATCTTTGGATCGGCAAATTGAAAGTTGCACACCGTACTAATTACTATCCTTTTTAACATGTGGTGATTATTTAACTGACTTTGGGGTTGCCATGTTTGTTTGTCACCACAGAAACTCACCGATGAGGAGGAACAACGTGCCTGGTTCAAATCCGAGCTCGCTAAAGCAGAGGTTCGGCGTGATCTGGAGAAGATAACTTCACCGCTCTGTTTTAGCGTCAAATTTGGCTCCATTATTGATCACCAGTGCACCGTGAAGCGCTCCAAAAAGCGCCCATTGTGGATCGTCTGGACAAATCCGGACACTCTGGCCGCTCACCACCACAAAAAACATCAACTGCTGTTCAAGCACGGTGATGACCTGCGTCAGGACATGCTAACCCTGCAGTTGCTTAAGGTTATTGCTTTTTACTTCATCCTATTCATTGCGAATATAGGCTAAAGGCTGTTGCCATTTGCTGAAGTTTCTTTCCCCGTATTTTCGTTTTCGTGGCGTATAATGATGACAGTCACGTTT